TGCTGCTCCTGCTGCTGCTGCTGCTGCAGCACCAGCCGCAGCTCGTCAGCCAAGGCCCTCCACACAACGTCAGGCGGCGTCAGTTTCAAATGGAAAACGTGCTGCGCCTCCTGTAGGCAGGCTGCGCCCCACTCTGGGTTCTTGCATTCCCTGCAGCAGCAGCAGCAGCAGCAGCAACAGCAGCCCTTAGCAGCAGCAGATGGTGGCAGCAGCAGCAACAGAAACAGCAGCAACAGGTTGCAGCTGCCGCGTCGGACTGGCGGGGGGTCTGGAGCTAAAGCCAAAAACTGTGCTCGTGATTTCCTGCAGCAGCTCCTCAAGCAGCAGCCGTTGCTGCTGCAAGCATCAGCTGCTGCTTCAGCAGCACCAGACCCGACGGCAGCAGCAGCTGTAAATGTAAAACAATACGGCAGCAACACCAGCCCCAGCGCCACCACCAGCAGCCCAAGCAGGAACCCCAGCAGCAGCAGCAGTCACAGCAGCAGCAGCAGCAGCAGCAGCAGCAGCAGGACCTCAAGAGGTAGTGCAGCACGGGCCCGGAGAGGGCAGGCATGAGCTGCTCTGCTGCGCCCTCGAGTTCGTCGTCGCCCAAAAAGACCGACAGCGACTTCAGCGGCAGCACAGCAGCAGCACGAGAAGAGGGCCGCGGCAGCAGCGAAGCAGCAATTGCCAGCAGCAGGTCCGGCTTCGCCTGCAAACAAACCCCAAACCCCAAACCCTAAACCCTAAACCCTAGAGCCCCACCGGCTGTGCAAAGAGCGCGAAGGAGCCACTTCCGCAGACGCCACAGCGCCAGCAGCAACAGCAGCAGCAGGAGCAACGGCAGCAGGAGCAACAGCAGCAACAGGAGCAGCAACAGCAGCAGCAGCAACGGCACGAGAAGCAGCAGCAAGAGCAACAGGAGCAACCGCAGCAGCAGAAGCAACAACAGCAGCAACAGCAACAGCAACAGCAGCAGCAGCAACAACAGCAGCAGCAACAGCCGCAGCAGCAACAGCAGCAGCAGCAGCAGCAGCAGCAGACGCGGATGTTGAGCTCGGGCTGCGTCTCCTCGTTGGCCTTTTCGCCCTGCGCTGTGAGCCACAAAACGGCGCGGCGGTTAAGAGACCAGTCCCGAAGCGGCAGCAGCCGCCACACGGCCAAAATTAGCCGCACCTGCGCCAAACCCTAAACCCTAAACCCTAGACCCTAAACCCTAGACCCTAAACCGTAGGTGGCGATATCAACACTATGGTTCCGCACCGCAGCGGGGAGCCGCATGCAAAAAAGAGGGGATGCAGGCGCCCCTTGGGGACAGAAGCAGCAGCAATGCCAAGTGAACTGGCAGCAGCAGCAGCAGCAGCAGCAAAGATATCTAAACTCGGCAGCAACGCCACAAAGAGCAGCTGCGCCACGGGCAGCCAGAGCAGCACCAACGCGAGCAGCAGCACACACACACGAAGTCCACCCTCCCAGCAGCAGCAGCAGCAGCGGCAGCAGCAGCAGCAGCAGCGGCAGCAGCAGCAGCAGCGTACTCTTTCCTGCGTAGTGAGGATGGAGCTGGTGAGGGGCATCTGCTGCAGCAGCAAATCCAACACGGCCCTGCAGACGAGGCTGCTGGAGTCCCCCAGAGCTGCTTCCAAAGCCCCAATGACCAGCCGCGGCCTATCTGGCAGCAGCAGCGCGACGCGTTGCTGCGCCCAAGCCGCACGCAGCAACGCAGCAGCAGCAACTGCAGCAGCAGCAGCTGCTGCAGCAGCGGCTGCATCCACGAAGGCAGCTCTGACGGCAGCACAAGCCAGGCAGCAACCGCGGCGCCAGCTGCAGCGCCCCAACAGCAAACCAGCAGCAGCAGCAGCAGCAGCAGCTCACTGGCGGCTGCTGCGCAAGGGGGGGGTTCAGCAGTTTGGAAATAATGAGCAGTGCCGGGATTCGAACGCGAGCGGCTCTGAGCAAAGAGGCCCAAAGGGCAGAAGCAAAAGGGCCCAGCCCCACAGCGTGCTGCAGCTTCTCTGCTGTTGCAGCAGCAAACTCAAAAGTTGCTGCTTTCTCCTCCTCGAGGCACAGCAGCAAAGAAACCAAAAGCCCCGACAGACACGGCAGCAGCCGCCGCCCTGCAAGCCCACAAACACAAGGAAAAAGTGCCCCAGCTGCAGCAGCAGCAGCAGCCGCAGCAGCAACAGCAGCAGCAGCAGCAGCATCCTCGTTGTCCTGCCGTCCTCTTCCTCGTCATTACCAGCAGCAGCACCAGCATCCCCAACAGCAGCAGCAGCAGCAGCAGCAGCACCACACCCCCAGCAGCAGCAGCAGCACCACCACCCTAACGACCCTAACTCCATGACCACCACCACCAGCAGCCTCAGCAGCAGCAGCAGCAGCAGCAGCAGCAGACCGAGAGGCAGGAAGAAGGCGTCGAGGATGTGGAGGAAGAGGGGCCTCAGGTGCGCAGCAGCTTCTGCTGCAAAGGCAAAAAGGCCCCAAGACCACAAAGACAAGTCCCGCCCGAGGCCTTCGGGGCCCAGCCGCCGCAGAATAGCAGCAAAAGCTTCCAGGGCCAGCGCATGCACTCCCGCCGGCAGCTGCGGGTTCAGGCACTGCAGCAGCAGCAGCAGCAGCAGCAGCGGCAGCAGCGGTGGGAGGGGGGGTGCTGGGACGGCAGGGGAGGAGCGGCAGCAGCTGTTGCTGCTGCTGCAGAGACAGAGGGGGCTACAGCAGCTACAGCAGCAGCAACAGGTGCAGCAGCAGCAGCAGCAACGGCAGCAGCAGCAGGAGCAGCTGGTGCTCGAGGGAACGTGGCAGCTGCAGCTGAACTGGGGGCTGCAGGAAGCTTGTAGCAGCGGCAAAGGCC